ACCAGTGACCCACGCAACCCTGAAAAGGAAGAAGCGTGTACAGAAAATGGATGGATGTAATATTTCCCCTATAATTATTACAAAACACAAAATAAGTATAAATAAGTATTTATATATTAGTGTAGCTTTTGTTTTTAGGGTTATTAATAAAGTTTATGTACTCGGACCAGTAATATTTGGGGTCACAAGTTTTTGCAATGAATATTTTATGGGTCAGAATTTAAAAAAGTTTGGGAACCACTGCTGTATAGAACAGAGGAGCCCAAAGTGGGGCCCGCGGGCCAAATTTGGTCCGCCAAGCTATTTGATTTGGCCCACCAGGTTGTAACCTGTAATCTTATGTAGAAACACAGTATTTCCACTTAGTCATTTCATCCATTGATCCAATGACCACATAAGGGGCTGTAGTGACTCTAGTAGACTTTATCTTTGAWATACTAAGATTAAACATGAAATACAAGTAACAAGTGATATTTAGATTAGATTTACCCACACATGTAGATTTGCAGTTTTTATAAGACCACAAAAACATATTTTATCAGTTTATGAAATGTCCCATGAGCCTTTGCTGCTCGAGTGTGTGGCAGACTTTCTCCAAGTGCACAGACTAAACCAAAAGTGGGGAACYAYACTGGCTGCTAGTTTAATCGTTAAAAAGACAAGCATTTACTYAAAAAGTGTTTGTATTCCTTGTATTATTGCTTTATTGTTAATGATTTTGTATTGTTATTATTATTGCATTTGGCCTGCAGCTCTGGATAGATTTTCATTTTGGCCCCCTTGGGGAAAATGTTTAGGCACCCCTGGTATAAAATAATTAATTACAGCCAAGCAGCTTATTTCATTATATTTTTATTTATTTATTTTTGCTTGTTGGATGGACTTTGCTTCTTTTATCAGTCTAAACTATGTGCTGATACTATTTTCCTTGATGAGATTAATTTTATTCATCTTCCTCTTCCTTAATCTCACGAGTGAAGGGATCTCAAGCTGGAATCACAGAACGTCATAATCAGCTGTGATCAACGTAATGTATAACAAATATAGTGAAGATGGTGCGTGAACGCTTTTTTTTTTTAATCTTCCAACGTGTGAAACCAGTAACAGTCATTTAAAATAAATCAGTCACTACGAGTCATATTTTATTTGATCAGGGTAAAACGTTTGTAAGTGTTTTGGTTTAGAAATGTTTCTGTAGCTGACTACTGAAGAGGCAGTGATTTATTTGCCAAGTCAAAAAGCCCATAAAGTTTCAGGAGCACAAACAGGAACTGGTTTTTGTGTGTTTGGAAAAAGAGCTCAGAAGATGTTGTAGTTTTCACATGAYCCACCAGGTGGCGATGAAAGCACAGAAATGAGTTATCTGTCTGCAGGTAAAAGATGTTCAGTGTGATCAGGATCCTTTCTGCTCTAAATGGTTAATGTTTCTAAAACATGTAATACAATTTCTAATACTTCGTTTATTGCTAAATTTTGGTTTCTTTCTCTTTAACTTATCTTTTAATAGATACACAGCATTCAAGATTGGTTTGTTCTTTTTCTAAATGTTTAAATCACTTGATTTCATTAACAAAAATTTAATTCAATCTGAAAACCTCATCATGAGTTTCTGGTCCAGAGTCAAAAGAAAGCAGGTCTTTGTTTGTCAAGACCTGCATATTAGATTAAATCAAACTTAGTGACCTTTTTCTATAAGGAGGCAAAGTTTTTCTTTCCATTCACCAGCCGGGGAGCTTCCTGACTGTGCTGTGTGCCGTTTCCTCCTCCTGACTGGTATTGTTTGCCACCAAGGCTGTTCCCAGACAGCTTC